TTAGAACGTAACTCCCGCGATAAACGAGGGAGCGCTGTTTACAGATACTGAGAAGTATAAAATTTGAATCCTGTCTCTCTCTGAGGCGCGGGGGGAAAAATATCGACAAGTCGATCAACATCATCTACAGATACATTCGACATCTCGAGAAATGTAAATCGCCACTTGATTCGTCCATTTGGTTGAAAAACCCGACCGTGAACAAGGAGCGAATATCACACCAGAAACTAAGCGCTATGCGCCGGAAGTAGCATATGCTAAGGCGCACAGGTCTAAGTTCTCCATAATGCACTGGGTGTTTCTTCTTCACTCAACATGTGTTAGTAGACCTCTCTGCATTCAGCCCGTCTGCCCCTCATCTATCGATGGATGTTTGTTAGAGGCTTTGGTTCCCACTGTCGCTCACAGACGGTCACCTAATGTTTCCTGTGTAACTGCAGGGTCTTTGCCTTATAACATAGAAGCAGCTTGAGGTAACTGTTGTTGTGATGCTGTGTGTGTGTAATAAAGCTCCCTTACTGACAGTGGGTCACCACAGCTTGTAGCTCCATGTATTTGATGCGGCACGTTTGCCCTCGCTGACACAACTTTAAAGGGATTTGTGTGTATGAATAAAGTTTATTGTTCATACAGTTCATTGCCGTATGTCTGTGAAAGGCTGAATGAGGGCTGTAGCTCCCTCAGCAGCTGTGGAGCGATGGAGATGTGGTTGGTTAGACACGCTGCTTTAGTTTACACTACAAACCACACTCACCTGTTTACACTCCTTTTGTGTTACAACCACCTTGTTACACTCAAACACCAGATGATGGATCTGAGCCAACTAAGGATTCACTGAGACTGAAGAAGCTCGAGATCATAAGAATTTGAGGCTCAGCTGATACAGTATCATAGGAGAATCCAACCATTGTATGTCAAGAGACTATAGACAGTGAAAGCTCCATCTGGAGGAGGAACGACGTGGTTCAGAGCGTTGCCTCCTGCAGCTGGTGACATGTTCAGATTTCAGCTCTGTCGGTTAGAAAGTCTGTTTTTGTTTTTCATCTGTGTGTTGCTCTTTCATCCTTTTCTTCTTTCTGTTCCTTGCATCAAGCCGGCTGACTTCACCACTGATGAGGTAACCATGAGCAGTAAGCCTCGTGTCGCTCACAGTTACATTTAACATAGTGCGATAAACACACTCAGTCATTATAAGGTACATCCTCTAAAGCAGGGGTGCTCAATACGTCGATCGCGATCGACCAGTCGATCGCAAAGGTAGTATTGGTAGATCGCATGGCATTAAAAAAATAGATGCCAGCCTATCATCCATCCCGTCACTTGATTGATACAGGGAAGCCAGTCAGATGACATCAGATTTTTTCTGACGCTTAGGTCGCTGCGCATGCGCAAACAGCGGCGCGAAGTGTAGTAAAACTGACAAGCTAGTCAGCGAGTTAACTCCAATTTTTAGCTCTCGGTTTTTTCTCTTAAACCTGGCCGTCAGCAGCTACTGTCCGGACTATGTATCCCTGGCTGATTCAATTCAGTGCAAGTCATCAGAGTAAACTCAGGTAATGACAAAAAATTTACATAGTTAATTGTGTTGTGAAATATTGGATATTGCGGTTATGCATGTATATACATTGTAGATATAAAGAATCCTCAATATATTTATAAATAAGTATATGTTTTGGATTTTTGTAGTGGGTAGATCATTTTGACTTGGTCATTTTATAAGTAGCTCACATGCGGAAAAAGTGTGAGCACCCCTGCTCTAAAGGTTCACATAACAGACAAACAGGATAATAAAAATAATCTGGTTCTCAGATGAACGACACACGACATTATTACACGTCTCAGTATTTGTTGCACTGAACACAAATATAAACACAACACTTTTGTTTCCATGAGCTGAACCGGATCCTGACTGGTTTTGCGACATGTGTGTCATTGTGCTACACATGTACGGCATATTTCAGAGTGGCCTTTTATTGTGGGCAGTCTCAGACACACCTGTGCAATATTCATGCTGTCTAATCAGCACCTTGACATGCCACACCTGTGAGGTGGGATGGATTATCTCAGCTAACGAGAAGTTCTCACTAACACACATTTAGACAGATTTGTGAACAGTGTTTGCGAGCAATGTTCCCTGTAATGTTTCACGTGTCTGAGCGAACACACAAACTCCCTGAGCGTCCCTTGGACCACTGTGAGCAACAGCAGACGTGTGCACTGTGGTCACGCCAGCACCCAAGTTACATGTTTATTAAAATAATCAAATTACAGCATTTACATTTATGTTAGATTACTTTTAATTAACTGCTTTAGCCCACTTACAATGAAAATTAAAACAATCTTCTTCATGACCTGTGCAGCATGTTAACACTAATGGAAGTAAAAATAACTTGAACTTCAATTTTGAAAACACAACTTTCTTTCTTTTTTTTTTGTAAAGCTCTGACTTGTATTATGAGTCTGTGGTCTGGGAGAGAGTCTGTAACTGTGTCTGCAACATACAGTAAATAATGACCAATGTTGGGCAGTTAATGATATAGTTACTTCTTCAAAAAAGTTACTGAGTTATGCAAACAAAGTTTTTTGCAGCTGTTTACCTAAAAATGCAGCCAAGGTGTTTTTAAACAAACATTTCAAAGTATTTACAGAACAATCAGCTGTTCTGCATCAAATCTGATGCCACACAAATTATTTGTGTCGCTCCAAAAAATAATTTGTGTCCACTATGAGATGAAGGCGAACAACAGCCTGATACCTGCAGGCCTGACAGCAGCAGATGTGTCACTGCTGTAACACCTGTAAACCATTGTTCTGACACACACAACAAAACTATTGACTACACTACACACTGACTACACACTGACTACACACTGACTACACACTAACTACACACTGACTACACACTAACTACACAAGATTTGTGCTAAACTTGGCAATCGCATCTCAAACACGGCCGTCACTCCTAAAACTTCCCCCTTCCTAAACAACTAAATGTCATGTTGCCATATCATTTTTTGATTGGTCGACATGGTGCATTTTTCCACCAATAGGAAAGGCTGGTGGGGGTTTGTTTTGGTGTTGTTTTTGCTCACAGGCTTTCGAGTGTTTTCCTTATAAAACGGCGTTTTCACCGTTTCTTCCCGCAGTAAATATAAACAACGACAGTATTCAGGAAGAAAAACCAAACATTGCAGATATTTTATCATAACTCTGGTTTTACGCGGCCGATCAACACAATTTAAAAACTGGTATAAAGTCCACACTTTGTCCGTCAGTTGTTCCGTCTGTCCTGCTCACATCTCCAATGGTTGTACACGTTGTCATTAACGTGGCTTCACGCCACATCAGCCGCTTTGCTAAAACACCGGTGTCGCACATAAGGACGCTGTCATAGCCTGTCAACCACGTTGATTAGCTGCGTATATACGAATGTGAATCGCGTGATTGGCTGGACTACGGGATAAGGTGGCCTCGTTCTGATCCCATACAGGAGCAGCCAGTCACTGACTAACACTGCAGAACAATTGTTAAAGTTTTCATTTTAATTTCAATTCAGGTGATTTTTCTTTTTTTCTTTTTTTTTGTGCGCAACGCAGATTTTCTGTGCAGAGACCGTGCCAGCAGTGCACAATTGTGCACGCGCGCAGCTTAGATGGAACATTGCTTGCGAGTGTCGGGTCTTTTGTGTTTGTAGAAAATGTTTCATATCTTTGAGTTCAGCTCATGGAAAACAGGAGCAAAAACAAAAGTGTTGCGTTTATATTTTTGTTCAGTGTAAACGATAAAACATCAGGTTTGACCCAGAATACACTGAAGCACCGCAGCAATTTCCTAATGTTGTAAACCTGCTCAACATTTGGCAATAAACCCCTTTCTGATTCTGATTCTGATTCTGACATGCTAACACATCAACACCACTGAGCTGATCGCAAGCAGGCCGATGATCATCCCACTCTGATAGATGATTGACTGTCAGATCAATAACCTGCTCACTGTTTAACAGACCTCACACACACACACCACACACACACACTTGCTGACTGCAACAGTATCTGACGAGGTTCCTTCCCATGAGAACCGACTGGAGTGTAGATGGGCCCGAGGCGAGGGCGATCGGCATAGACTGACACACAAAGAGAGAAAGGTTTGGGAACGAGAGGAACAATAAAGGGGAAAAAAGTAGGGAAACTGGGGTGAAAAAGAGCCTCGTTGAGACGAGGAAGAACGGGAATGTCAAGAGGGAGGAAAGAATGAAGGGAGGAGCTCAGGAGACGCTAATGAAAGGGGGAGAGAGGAGGAAACATTGTTTGAATGCTTCAGATGAGTTGGAGGTAAGAAAGGAGAATAAAAGCACGAGAGAAGCTGGGAAACAAAAGCATAAGAAATGTAGATGATGAGAAAGGGAAGAGGAGGAAAGCAGAAAGATGAATAGAGGAAGTAAGAAAAAGCATTAACAAGAAGAGGAGGAAGAAAAGGAAAGATGAGATGAATGGGAGAGGATAAGAACGAAAGGCAGAAACGGTAAGATGGAAAAATGAAGAAAGAAAGGAGAAGGCAGTTTAGAGAGTCGAGGAAAACTTAAGGATGAGGGGAAAAATAAGAGTTGAGGATTATAGGAAGACTATGGAAGAGGACAGAGGAGAGAAGAAGAGGAAAGGAAAATGTGTGAAGGAAAAAAGGATGATAGGGGGATGGAAAACTGAGGACTGGAAAAAGAGGAGGAGAGAAAGAAAAGAGCGGGAATGAGAAAAACCCGGCTCGTAAAATGAAGGGAGGAGTGCTGGGAAAGAGGAGGAAAAGTGGTCTGAGCAGCCTGGAAGCACAGGGAAAAATGGATATTAAAAAAACACGACTAAGGGATCAACAGAAAGACACTAAAATTGACCAAAGTAGTGAAGAAACCCTCTGTGTGCTGTGTGATTTGGATTTTTTTCTGTATGTTTATGACTGCTTTTTTTAACCGTGCTTTCTCATTTGCTGTGCTCAGGTGGTGGGCGGAGCTGAAAAATGGCGGGTGCATCAGTGAAGGTGGCGGTGCGAGTCCGCCCATTCAACTCCAGAGAGATCGGACGCAACGCCAAGTGTGTGATCCAGATGCAGGGAAACACCACCTGTGAGAACAACACACATGTTCTGTCCTTTAGGCTTTATGGGGCCCCTTACTGAGACACTAACCTGAAGATGTCCTCACAGGATCTGAAACATTCAGATGTCCTGACAAAGATAAAGAAAGGAGAACAAATAAATGAGAAACCATGGAAACAGATTACAAAGGTTTTTAGATAATGAGATAATGACAGAGTTTTATGATAACCATCTCATTATGATGTAAGGAGGATTTTTATTGTGACCTTGAATCATAAACTGTGGGTATAACATGGATATAGCCTCTATGCATATTAAAGCCTCAGGTGTAGCATTGTGGCAGCGGCCATGTTGGTGTTTTGGAGGTTAATCCTCTGTCACGAGCATTAATAAAGTTAAAACTGACCTTCAGCTTAAACGCTGTGAACCTGCTCGTCGCAGAGTTAGCCATGAAAGCAGCTGTGGCATCACTTTAATGTGGCTGAAGAATATAACAGTCACTGGACTGTAACAGCATTTAGCTTTAGGCTAACAGTCACTATTGATTTTAATTAACAAAGAATGCTAACACTCTCCTGTCCCTGTGCGGGTTAGGGGTTTTTATGGCTTCAGCGATCCCAACGTCCTCCTGGGCTGTCATGTGACGACTGATCCTACTGCTGCATAAACTGACAGGCACACACAGCCTGGTTATTAATAGACTTCACTGCAGCAGGGCTGTTATTGGCAGCTGTGTGTCCATCTGACTAATATTTATATGCAGAGCCCGTCATATATGCTGTGAATGCTGGGAGTGGTCACATGCAGATGTCCCCACTTCAACAGTCACATTTTGTTGCCTCCATATTTGAAAGTGAGGAGAAAAGAAATAAAACTGGAGTGTGTCCACACACTTCTGGTCATGCACTGAAGGTTGTTTCTTTATGATTCTTTCCAGGCATCTCCAATCCCAAACAGCCCAAAGATGGAGCCAAGAACTTCACCTTTGACTACTCCTACTGGTCACACACAACGGTGAAAACACTCTCTCTCTCTCTCTCTCTCACTCTCACACACACACACACAGAAAACATCAATATTATAACCCAGAATCAGTGATAACAGTGCCATGTGTTTGTGTCCCTGCAGCCCGATGACCCCGGCTTCACCTCTCAGACACAGGTGTATAAGGACATCAGAGAGGAGATGCTGCTGCACGCCTTCGAAGGTGCGTCTGAACATCCTCTCAGATGTCAAAGAATAGCCCGACCTCTGTCTGCTAAAATACAATTTTAAATTTTTTTTAACTCTAATTAAATTTGGCAGTATCGGTCCTCCATAGTCCAACTCCGACTATGTAGCTAATGAGACTAATGGTGACCGGTAACAATGCTGATACTTGTTACTATAGTGATACTGATGTGTAAAATGAGACTGTTGATGGTGATGATGATGCTGATCATGACAGCACAATTATATTCTACATAGGCAGGCTGATAGTCTTAATGTCTAATACAGGAATAAGCTAAAGAGGACTTTATTTATAATTTTAGAATAACTTGTAATATTGTTGTTGTTGTTGTTGTTTTCCAGGATACAATGTGTGTATTTTTGCGTATGGACAGACGGGTGCAGGAAAGAGCTACACTATGATGGGCAAACAGGAGCCTGGACAGGAAGGGATCATACCACAGGTAAACGCAGTCATGTCACGTCATTACTGCTGTTGCATTAATGTTTACTGATTCAAAGGCATAACTGATGAAGAATTATATAAATGTCTGTCTGTCTGTGTGTTCAGCTATGTGAGGACTTGTTTCAGAGAACAGGAGAAAACACAGATCCTGACCTGACCTACTCCGTAGAGGTGAGCCCTCATCTAACCTGATCAGTTTTATTTAAACTGATTTACCCGATTAAACATCCATCACAGGTGTCCTACATGGAGATCTACTGTGAGCGGGTTCGGGACCTGTTGAACCCAAAATCCCAGGGCACGCTGCGGGTCCGGGAGCATCCCATCCTGGGGCCCTACGTGGAGGATCTGTCCAAACTGGCTGTGACTGGATTCACGGACATCCGGGACCTGATGGACGCCGGCAACAAAGCTCGGTCAGTTTTCTTCCGGATAATTTCAGAGGTTGAAGTTTAAAACAAAGTGTAAAAGGCTGCAGCTGTCTGAGGAAGTTTGGAAGGCAAATGATCTAAATTTTTGAAAAACATAAATCTTATTCTACTGGTAACCAATCCATCATATAATACAGCAGAATTATGTAGATCAGCACAGTAGATGGACTTGTCTATCTTTTGAGCCATGATCAGATTGATACCCAATCAGTTCATTAATCGCCCATTAGCCAATGTTACTTATTCTACACTTGTGCTATAAATGTGTAACATCTGTATTATTGTAAAGAATGAATTGCAGTAACATTAAACTAATCAAGTTTATTTCTGATTGCAGGACGGTCGCAGCTACAAACATGAATGAGACGTCGTCCAGGTCCCACGCTGTCTTCACCATCGTCTTCACCCAAAAACGACGAGATCAGATGACCAGCCTGGACACTGAGAAAGTGTGTCTGCTTCTCTGTTTTGTCCCAAAGGACTTTTTTTCTCCCCAAATGTCAGGTTTTTATTTTGATTCTCGCACTTTTCTCTTCAGGTCAGTAAGATCAGTCTGGTCGACCTGGCTGGAAGTGAACAATCAGACTCCTCTGGGGCAAAGGGCACACGGCTCAAGGTCAGAGATAATGTGGCGCAATCAGATTATGTATCTACTCATGTGCTGCTCATTGTCATGCATCCACTGCCACATTCATCATGTATTCATTGTATGTTTGCATGAAGGAAGGAGCAAACATCAACAAATCTCTGACCACATTAGGAAAAGTGATTTCAGCTTTGGCTGAAATGGTAATTCTACACTCTTCATATTTACAAGTCAAATACAGTCATGTGCAATGTGGGAGATGGTTCTGGTACATGGGAAAACTGACTGCTTCTTGTCTCTGATCTGCAGCAGAGCAGTAAAAAGAGGAAAAGTGATTTTATTCCCTACAGAGACTCTGTTCTCACCTGGCTACTGAAGGAGAACCTGGGTAAGTAGAGCATTGGTAGGTTAAAGGAGTATTCACAATGTCAGATTGAGCATAAATAAACAGTACAAGGAGTCATTTAAGGCTAACAGCTATTAGTAATAACGTCAATACTAGGACTAACAGCATGTTTCTTTGATCAAACAATTAACAAGACTTGTTGTGTCTGCACTTACAATACACCTTAACCTGTCAGGAATAATAGTACACCTTAACCTATCAGGACTAAAAGTACACTTTAACCTGTCAGGACCAATAGTACACCTTAACCTGTCAGGAATAATAGTACACTTTAACCTGTCAGGACCAATAGTACACTTTAACCTGTCAGGACTAAAACTACACTTTAACCTGTCAGGACTAAAACTACACCTTAACCTATCAGGACTAATAGTACACCTTAACCTGTCAGGACCAATAGTACACTTTAACCTGTCAGGACTAAAACTACACCTTAACCTATCAGGACTAATAGTACACTTTAACCTGTCAGGACCAATAGTACACCTTAACCTGTCAGGAACAATAGTACACCTTAACCTGTCAGGACCAATAGTACACCTTAACCTGTCAGGACCAATAGTACACCTTAACCTATCAGGAACAATAGTACACCTTAACCTATCAGGACCAATAGTACACTTTAACCTGTCAGGACTAAAACTACACCTTAACCTATCAGGACTAATAGTACACCTTAACCTATCAGGACCAATAGTACACCTTAACCTGTCAGAACTAAAACTACACCTTAACCTGTCAGGAATAATAGTACACTTTAACCTGTCAGGACTAAAACTACACCTTAACCTATCAGGACCAATAGTACACTTTAACCTGTCAGGACTAAAACTACACCTTAACCTATCAGGACCAATAGTACACCTTAACCTATCAGGACCAATAGTACACCTTAACCTGTCAGGACTAATAGTACACTTTAACCTGTCAGGACTAAAACTACACTTTAACCTGTCAGGACTAAAACTACACCTTAACCTATCAGGACCAATAGTACACTTTAACCTGTCAGGACTAAAACTACACCTTAACCTATCAGGACTAATAGTACACCTTAACCTGTCAGGACTAAAACTACACCTTAACCTGTCAGGACCAATAGTACACCTTAACCTGTCAGGACTAAAACTACACTTTAACCTGTCAGGAATAATAGTACACCTTAACCTGTCAGAACTAAAACTACACCTTAACCTGTCAGGACCAATAGTACACTTTAACCTGTCAGAACTAAAACTACACATTAACCTATCAGGACCAATAGTACACTTTAACCTATCAGAACTAAAACTACACCTTAACCTATCAGGACCAATAGTACGCTTTAACCTGTCAGGACTAAAACTACAAATTAACCTATCAGGACTAATAGTACACCTTAACCTATCAGGACCAATAGTACACTTTAACCTGTCAGGACCAATAGTACACTTTAACCTGTCAGAACTAAAACTACACCTTAACCTATCAGGACCAATAGTACACTTTAACCTGTCAGGACTAAAACTACACCTTAACCTATCAGGACCAATAGTACACCTTAACCTATCAGGACCAATAGTACACTTTAACCTATCAGGACCAATAGTACACCTTAACCTATCAGGACCAATAGTACGCTTTAACCTGTCAGAACTAAAACTACAAATTAACCTATCAGGACCAATAGTACACCTTAACCTATCAGGACCAATAGTACGCTTTAACCTGTCAGGACCAATAGTACACCTTAACCTATCAGGACCAATAGTACACTTTAACCTATCAGAACTAAAACTACACATTAACCTATCAGGACCAATAGTACACTTTAACCTGTCAGGACTAAAACTACACCTTAACCTATCAGGACCAATAGTACACTTTAACCTGTCAGGACTAAAACTACACCTTAACCTATCAGGACTAATAGTACACTTTAACCTATCAGAACTAAAACTACACATTAACCTATCAGGACCAATAGTACACTTTAACCTATCAGGACTAATAGTACACCTTAACCTATCAGGACCAATAGTACACTTTAACCTATCAGGACCAATAGTACACCTTAACCTATCAGGACCAATAGTACACTTTAACCTGTCAGGACTAAAACTACACCTTAACCTATCAGGACTAATAGTACACCTTAACCTGTCAGGACTAAAACTACACCTTAACCTATCAGGACCAATAGTACACCTTAACTATCAGGACCAATAGTACACATTAACCTATCAGGACCAATAGTACACTTTAACCTGTCAGGACTAAAACTACACATTAACCTATCAGGACCAATAGTACACTTTAACCTGTCAGGACTAAAACTACACCTTAACCTATCAGGACCAATAGTACACTTTAACCTGTCAGGACTAAAACTACACCTTAACCTATCAGGACCAATAGTACACCTTAACCTATCAGGACCAATAGTACACTTTAACCTGTCAGGACTAAAACTACACCTTAACCTATCAGGACCAATAGTACACCTTAACCTGTCAGGACTAAAACTACACTTTAACCTGTCAGGACTAAAACTACACTTTAACCTGTCAGGACTAATAGTACACTTTAACCTGTCAGGACTAAAACTACACCTTAACCTGTCAGGACTAAAACTACACCTTAACCTGTCAGGACCAATAGTACACTTTAACCTGTCAGGACTAATAGTACACTTTAACCTGTCAGGACTAAAACTACACCTTAACCTGTCAGGACTAAAACTACACCTTAACCTGTCAGGACTAAAACTACACCTTAACCTGTCAGGACCAATAGTACACCTTAACCTATCAGGACTAATAGTACACTTTAACCTGTCAGGACCAAAACTACACCTTAACCTATCAGGACTAATAGTACACCTTAACCTATCAGGACCAATAGTACACTTTAACCTGTCAGGACTAAAACTACACTTTAACCTGTCAGGACTAAAACTACACCTTAACCTATCAGGACCAATAGTACACTTTAACCTGTCAGGACCAATAGTACACTTTAACCTGTCAGGACTAAACTACACCTTAACCTATCAGGACCAATAGTACACCTTAACCTATCAGGACCAATAGTACGCTTTAACCTATCAGAACTAAAACTACAAATTAACCTATCAGGACCAATAGTACACCTTAACCTATCAGAACTAAAACTACACCTTAACCTGTCAGGACCAATAGTACACCTTAACCTATCAGGACCAATAGTACACTTTAACCTGTCAGGACCAATAGTACACTTTAACCCCACAGACATGTATAGAGTTGCAGAGTTAATATCAGGCAAAGTTTAAGTACCTTAAAGGTTTGATGTGTGCTTCTTTCAGGAGGAAACTCTCGCACAGCAATGATTGCTGCGCTAAGTCCTGCTGACATCAACTACGAAGAAACACTGAGCACTCTGAGGTCAGTTACTTGGTGTAATCTGTCTATGAGGCTTTTTATGGATCAGTTAATGTGTTTTCAGGCAGCGGGTATGTTGCAAAGCTGGCATAGTCAGATTAATATAATCTGATTCGGTCCGGTTCGGTTCCAGATATGCTGACCGTGCCAAACAGATTCGCTGTAACGCTGTGATCAATGAAGATCCAAATGCCAAACTGATCAGAGAGCTGAAGGCCGAAGTGGAGCGACTGAGAAACCTGCTGTTCTCTCAGGGCCTGCAGGAGCTGCTGGACAATGCTGGTATGCACACATACAGAATAATGAACCTTATCTGCTTGTTCAGTCTGACGTTCGGGTTCAAATTCTCTTTCAGATTCTTTCAGCTTCAAAAACAGGATCAGTGCGTCTGTTCTTGCAGGTCTTACAATAAAGTTTAACGTCAAAACAAACATGAAAAAAACAATTAATGAGATGATGCTCTGACTGAAGTATTTCTAAATACTCTAAATACATCCACAACATGAGGTTAATCATTAACTTGCTGCTGTGTGGTTTTGATTTCTTGGTATGAAAAAGTCCCGTTCCTAAGTGTCACATGCACATTGATTCTTTTCTGAAGCATTTAAATATCTGGTGTCTGCGATGCTGTGAATCCATCATGATTATTTATAAGAAAAAGCTTAGAAATGTGCTGCGCATCAACACTGCTCATAAAAAGCTGGAGAAGCAGAGAAGCTCCTCTCAGACAGCAGAGTTTATTTCTATTGTGAACCTTATGCATTGCTAAACACGCAAACGCTGTGGATGTGATACTCAGACTGTGCTTCATATAAACATGGAATGCAGTCTGTTTACGGCCTAATAAACTGTACACATCACATGCTGTTGTTCTTTCATTTGGACCTGGTATGAACAGCACGTCTATGTGCAGTATGCTGTAGAGACGGTTATTTACAGACAACAGCAACTGTGTGTGTGTGAGAAGATATTTACAAGCTGTCGTTACATAACCAGGATTGCTGAGATTCCAGCATGTTAGAAATTAAATCTCCTCCTCTTCACTTCTTCTTCTCTGCTCTCTTTCTGTGTCTCTTAAAGTCAACAACAACAACAACAACATCAACGGCCCCGGTGGTGTCGCAGGTGCGTCCCCCTCCCCTCTCCAGCTGGCTCTCACATCCAATGGGATCACACCTGAGAATGGCTCCGCCCCTCCAGGTCACTCTATATGTTTATGTGGATTATTGGGAATCCAAAAAGACTGTGCCTTTGTCTTTACTAGTTTAAATTTAAAAAATACAGAAGTGGTTCATCATGTTTTCATAATTAAATGTTTTATTTCCTGTGCAGGCGCTGAGCCGGTATCTGAAGGTGACACGCCTGCTGACCGTGATCAGCTGATTGAGGATGGAGAGGAAAGGGTGGAGGGAGAGTCCACAGAGAACATCAGCAAAGAGGAAGCAGCTGAGAGACTGATGGTAGGGCGAGACGTTTTATCACCTCGCACTTTTCCCGGTCATAATTCCATCATATCTAAATTTGAGAAACATATACTCTTAGATCCAGTGTGACTTCCACTGTCAGAGAAATCTATTACTTCTTTGATAGTTTTCTGGAAATCGATTGAAAAGAATGAGAAAAAACAGACTTAAAACTTCAGAACGTGTCTGGGAATCCTCATATTTTTAGTTTTTCTCAGTTTAAGAGAAATTCAGCAAAAGTTTTCTGTACATCTGTGATTACACTGCAAACAGGAGTTGCTGAGCACTATTTCACCTTCTTTGAATGAGAATGAAGAAGTTTTATTGGTATATGTTTACAATACATGTGTGTGTTTTTGCATGTAGGAAACAGAGAAAATCATCGCTGAGCTGAACGAGACGTGGGAGGAGAAACTGAGAAAAACAGAATCTATTCGTTTGGAGAGGTTAGTTTTATTTGAATCTGAGCTTTTACATGTTTGCCTCTGTCCGTAGTTAATATAGTGAACATGTTTTGGTGTCACCTGTTACTTTCTTAAACGTAACGACGATATCATGAACATCAGCATTTATACCGCTGCTGAGGGCAGCTCTTTTTCTCCTGAGCCACTCAGACAAAACCTCAGGGCAGGTGTAGAAGTGGAAAAAGTCTCATCTTTTCAAGCTGCTGGATCGTCCTCTGTATTAGCTTGAAATCTTGGCGCTTCTGCACTGACACTGATAAAAACAACAACTCATGTCTGTGACCCGGCAACAGCTACCATGCGAGGTTTTGTGTCAGCAGAGTGACACATCTTTTGGCGTTTCCCACTGTTCATGAAGGCAAAAAAGGTTTAACGACCCTTTATCCACTGTGGCAGACGAGGCTCATGGGAACTGTAGTGTTTACAGCACAGGTGGAAAAGCTGAGTGTGTTTGTTCACTAACTCACAGATGAAAACATTTGGAAACACGAACACAGAGGGAGAAAAAAAATGGATGATGATTGATGTCTCTGTCTCTCGCTCGCTCCCTCAGAGAGCCCCTGCTGGCAGAGATGGGCGTGTCCATAAAGGAAGATGGAGGAACGCTGGGCGTCTTCTCTCCTAAAGGAGTGAGTGTATATTTAACCCTTTCTCTCTATATATACTGTTGTCAGTCTGTTCTGTGTCTGCAGACATCTTTGCAGAAAATGTTATTATGTAAGCTCTGACAGTCTGTGGGACTGGTTTAGTAATACTTTAACTTTAGGATTGTGTGATCCCTGGCTGCTGACACACGATATGCAGGTATTTGTTAGGAGCTGTAACTCCTGCTGGTATTTTAAAACAGTGTATTTAATTTTTGGATTCACCTTTATGTCAGGTTAAAGCTACTCTTTGAGTTGGTGTGTTTTGTTAGAACAGCCGATAAATTGATTTTACAATCAATCATATAGCACATTTTTAAGACCGAAGTACACCAAAGTGCTTTCCAGTAAAATCACAATAAAATATAAATTACAAATATATAAAATATAAGATGATTACATAATCTAAATACAGAGCCAGATGTAATTTACTTCATGCCTGGGAGTGTTCGTCCAGTCAGAGCCGAGTGTCTGCTGCTCATAAGCACCTGTGTCGACGCGCACTCAGCTTTAGAAGTGATGATGTCACTGTTTGATTTTAAGTCTCTCTGGTCTTTGCAGTAAAATCGCTGCAGTCTGCTGAGCAGATGTTTGAAATCCAGATTAAAACTCAGAGACGATAAATCGTGCAGCAGCTTTTCTCTCCGTACCACCACCTCACCGAACATCTTTAACTCTTTCCCTCATAAAGACGACATCTGACAACCTTTAATGACTTCAGGTGAACTTCGACTCAGTGTCAACATTCACTTTAGTAGTGTTGTCTTCATTCATGGTGTGTTGTTCACTTTGGTAAATGATGCTGTTTATAAAAGTGCTTATAAAAGGATCTGAGTGAATGCAGTCCTGGCTCCAGTCACATGTTTAGTACTAGTTAAAAGTTAACAGCATCCAATCGTGTTTAGTGTTTTCTATCTTCCACTCTCACTGTGTGGATCCGCCTCACTTTTAAAGGGGGAAAAAGATGACCCCATCATGTAAAACTAAAGTTAATGTAATGTCTGTGTGTGTTACAGACGCCTCACCTGGTCAACCTGAATGAAGACCCTCTGATGTCCGAGTGCCTCCTCTATTACATCAAGGAGGGAGTGACCAGGTCAGCAGTGATTTCATCATCGGTCATTTAGTTCATCAGTTATTTGATCATTTTGTTGGTCTTTGCTCAGAAAATCTGATAAATTGAGTCTAAAGTGTGAAACGTTTTAGCCATCCTGTGCAGAGACCAAACGTCAGAGACGCCTCGGCTCATCTCCATGTGAAAGCAACAAATTACACACAGACACAAGTCCATCACTAGTTTAGCTGCTTTACTTCATTAGTAGAAAAAGTAATGACACTGTTTACATGTAGTGCATGCAGAAATCTGCTCGTGCAGAGGTTACCACACCGATAATGATCCACAGAGTCATCGTGGAGAACAATGAGTTTCATTACGTATCTTATCAGACACGACACTCGCTGTTATCTAACAACTACTTTATGATCTTGGACATCAGAAGCTCCTCCGTTAGTTTTATTGCAGGAGAAGTTGCACCTTCATCTTTATTCCTGGTGGAGTTGTATAACTAGCTTGGCAGGTGTTTACATTAGTTTTTCATCTGTCTGTGTGTGTGTGTGCGCGCGCGCCAGGGTCGGGCAGCAGGACGTGGACATTAAACTGTCGGGTCAGTTCATAAAGGAGATTCACTGCGTTTTTGTCAGTGAGACCAACGAGCAGGGAGAAGGTGAGATTTTTACTCCTTGCATAAACCTTTGCTCACATGTCTGACACTCTGATGCCTGATTGGCTGTCTCTGCTCTGCTGCACTGCTGTTTTGTGGTCACACAGCTTCATTGTGCGGAGTTTAAGCAGCCTCAGTCCTGTGGTTTGATCAGCTCCTGTAGTTCACTGTGCAATAACCTCATTATGAACCATGGGTCCTTCAGTACTTTATACACACCAGAGAAACATGTTCTACACGTTACCTGAAGCTGTTTAACATCTGAAGTTATAAAAGAATAAAAATACAAACTACATTTGTACAAATTACTTACTTATCATCGTTACCACCTGCTGCATCATAGTTGGCCTCTTCTACAATCTGCTGCCATAGATCTCCTGTTCCAGTGCTGGAAGTTTTTCTTTTTATTAAACGTGGTGTGAGTTTCTAATGATGTAGTGAGCATAGCTGTCAGTAATCCTTGTGAGCAGTCTGCCCTACACACAAAGCACAGCGCATACTTTTTGTTTCTATTATAGGATCTATATGATGTCATAAAGAGGTCATATCAATAGTATACTTGTGGGAGTCTGCCGTCAAAGAAAGGAGCTACAGCAGCTTGTTTCAGACAGAGGGGCCAGTGTGACATAAATAAAATGATTTTAAACTGTGAGTCATGCTGAGCTGCTGTGGCAGTGTGAGACTAACAGAAATAAAAACATGGATCTGGAAATGCATTTTTAATCAGATTTGATTTGCATCACTCCTCAAAGTAACGTTTCTGACATGTTTCAGCAGCAGCCGGGGTTAAAGTCAGACCTGCAGGCAGCTGAGTTGATCATTAACATGTGTAAGTCTGGAATGAGTCACAGTGGCAGACAAATGTGCTCTTGACTTCTGTCACATTACACCTCCTGATTCCACTGGCTTATAATCATCTTTAAATATTGAAAGCACACTCGAGCCTCTCTGAGAAGGTTTCTGAAGAGTTTGAGACCAGAAGGACAAAGAAGGTCCTGCAGTGCTTTTATGTACCACATGATGGCTCCGCATGATGTGTGGATTCGAAACTTTGCAGCCAGAACATGCTGATAAGAAAAGTTTGAGCACTTATATATGTATATATAGATTCAATTAGTTACTAACACTAAAAATATTGTTTTGATTGCTATTGCAATTTCATTTTAAATATACAAATGTGGTATTATATATACATATGTCATGAAACCTGTGCTAATTTGCATAAATGTACACTAGATTATGGGGCAAAAATTCCTGTTTTGTTTTTTTTGTTTTTTTCCATGAGCGTCTCACCTTAGAGGTCTGGTCTGTGTCCAGGCTGTAGTTCTTTGTTCTCGGACTGTGTGTAGAGTCTGAAGCTGCAGCTCTCTTCCTGTTTTCATTAAAAGTTATAAACAGGTGTGTGTGTGTGTGTGTGTGTGTGTGTGCGTGTGTGTGTGTGCGTGTGTGTGTGTGCGTGTGTGTGTGTGTGCGCCCGCGCTCAGTGAGTGACTCTTTCTTCTTCTCTTTCTGTGAAAGCTGCCAGGAAATCTGTCAGGTATTAGTCATTGCTACTCGTCATGGTGACATCATCCTCATGTTCACACCCATGTTTCCTGTGCCTTCCCCGCCTCCCTCCTCCTGTCCCAGACACCCCTTCCTCACCCTCTGTCTGTATATCTGTGTGTGTGTGTCTGCTGCTGTTACCTGTGCGCTGTAGCACGATCCCTGGTTTCAGTGCATGTCTGTATGTGAGACCGAGAGGCCTCTGTAGTTGTGGACATACCCCTTTCAGATCCAGGTCTCTGTCTCTGGATTGTCGATCAACCTTTCTAGTAATGTTACAGGATACAAGCCCAGATATTAAGGTCCATGATAAAGCCTCCGTCACTGCTGCGAGTCCTCCCATCAGACTGTTTCATGCTCATGTGTCATATCAGACAGAGCCGGTCTCCTTGTGTTTCACAGAGCTGTGTTTCAGTTCTCCTGATGAGTTTTTCTTGCTTTGCTTGGACTGTCTGTGTCTCCCTCTGCAGTGGTGGTCACTCTGGAGCCGTTAGTTGGAGCAGAGACCTACGTTAACGGGAAGCAGATCACCGATGCTGTCGTATTAAAACAGGTACAGAAACACACCCGGCAGCTTTTCTTACGAGTTCACTGCGGCTTTAAACAAACAGGAAGCACCTGCCATTACACTGCTCCTGCAGCTGTTACATCAGGTTTCACTTTAGTTTACAGCTTATTACACACGAACATGAAAAACAAAGCAGGTTTGATCGATGGAGTAAACACACCACCCAAAACCTGCAGGAGACCTCAGACTCCGTTTCCTGTCTGTTTCCGTCTCTAGGTAACCGCATTGTGATGGGGAAGAACCACGTGTTTCGGTTCAACCACCCGGAGCAGGCGAGGCTGGAGAGGGAGCGCAGCGCCACGATGGAGCAGCAGGGGGAGCCGGAGGACTGGAACTACGCGCAGAAAGAGCTGCTGGAGAAACAAGGCATCGACATCAAGCTGGAGATGGAGAAGAGGTAGATGCACCTTTACTAGACCCTGAAGTGTGGTTTTCAGATAGCATCTGTAGACACACTGTAAACCACGTCAGATATCAGAGCTGTTTCCTGATTATTGATCATCTGATTGGTTGGTTGGTGCTGCAGACTGCAGGACGTGGAGACTCAGTACCGTAAAGAGAAGGAGGAGGCTGACCTGCTGCTGGAGCAGCACAGACTGGTGAGTTTCTCCTTCAGGTGAGCTCGTGTGGTGACTGCTTCAGGTGTTTTACCTTCTCTGTGTGTGCAGTAGCCTACGCAGACAGCGACAGCGGGGACGACTCGGACAAACGATCCTGTGAGGAGAGCTGGAGGCTCATCTCCTCCCTGAGAGAGAAGCTGCCAGCCAACAAGGTATCAGCTCCTCATAATCTCCTCGTTCATAGCTCCTCATGTAGCTGTGACATCCATAGAGACCTGATAGGATCGTGAAGCAAGCTTTTCTGCTGACAGGGACAGTCATTGGAGCAGATTAATGTACCTGTGAGCTGACCTGTCTCACCTGTATGTCTGTGTCCAGGTGCAGTCCATAGTGAAACGCTGTGGTCTGCCCAGCAGCGGGAAGAGGAGGGAGCCTCTGCGAGTGTATCAGATCCCTCAGAGGAGGAGGATCAGCAAAGACCCCAAACAGGTGACCATGGAGGACCTCCGCATGCAGGCCGTCAAAGAGATCTGCTACGAGGTCTCACAAACACACACGTGATATCAGAGTGTTCTCTGACTGGTTTCAGAGGGACAGATAAACATTTTAGAAGTTATTCTCATAAATACTCTTATATCTCTACATTCAGGGGCAAAGGGTTAAAACTTTACCTTGAAAAATACACTGGACCTTTCAAAACCCAAACCCTCCTGGAGATGGCTCCAGGTGGACACTTGACACTGGTCTGTAGTGTTGGACCAATTTGGTCCATGACTAAGTCAGACAGACTCTGTTAGTTAGACTCCATAGCTCCAGTCAAACGCAACAAATAAGTGGTAAATTGTGAAAATCATACATGATGCATTTTCCAATAAAACCAGGATCACTAGATTGTTACAGACCTTGCTGTGTAACCATAAACTCTTTAAAAAAGGTAGTCATAGTAAAGCCACATTACCTTTTCCTTTCCAAATTTTGAAGCCTGGACTGTAGCATTTAAGAGTTAAAAACATGCATCCGTGGACTGTACGGGAGTGTCACACTGACACTGGTGCCTGCGATTAAGTGTAAAGAAATAAGTCCACTCACTAAAACTGGAGCACAGAGTTCTCGGAGGGTTGGTAGTAGAGCTAGTACCCATGGCACAGTGTTGATTGGTCTGTTCAGCCTGTGTGAGGTAAAATATGTGATCGTCTTAAGATATCGCACCAGAACATACAGAGGCAAATTATAAACCTGAGTGGGTTCAGATTTGCCCATTTTTGTGGGTTCTGTGCACTCAGGCCCTGCTCTACGGTGTAGATGCCACTGAAGTCCATTGCTAGGTTGTGGTCACGCAACCTTACAGTGGACAGGTGCATAGATGCTAAAAATGGGTTATTGTAACCAGTCGATATGAGGTTCCTAGGCCACATGATTATGTCATAGTGTCTGATGTAGATAAGAACCTCGGGACCCTAATATGTACCTGCGTGCCAAGTTTGGTTGCTCCACTCCTGATTGTTTAGCAGTCTGTGGAGAGATTTGGAGAACAGTAAAATTAACCAGCACAAACAGTCCAGAGGACATTAGAGGAGGAGCTTTTTTTTCTTTTTTTAAACCTGTTCCTCTGTATGTGGCGCCCCCCTCAGGTGGCTCTGGGAGACTTCCGTCACTCCCGTCAGGAGATCGAGGCGCTCTCCATTGTCAAGATGAAGGAGCTGTGCCGCATGTACGCCAAGAAGGACACCAACGAGAGGGAGGGCTGTGGCCCAGGACGTCTGCGACACTGTGGGCATCGGAGAGGAGAGGAGCCCTCCCGCTGAAGAGGGGGGAGGAGGAGGAGGAAGTGGTGGTAGTGGAGGAGGAGAGACAGGGGAAGGTGGAGAAAAGGCAGGCGTGTACGACTTGAAGGCTCACATCGATAAGCTGACAGATATTTTGGAGGTGAGTTATGCTAATCTTGTTTTCTTCACGACCTGAGAGGCGCTAGAGGAGCAGAGCCAAATGTGTGCGACTCCTGCAGGAGGTGAAGCTGCAGAACAACATGAAGGACGAGGAGATCAAAGCTCTGAGAGACAGAATGATCAAGATGGAGAGCGTCATACCTCTTCAGGTATGTTCGCACCTCCTGTCCCGCCCCTTCAACCCATCACCACCAGAGTTAACCGTTGTTTGACTTGTTTCCAGGACGACGACTTGAACGGCGAGGGAGGCGAGTCCCCTCAGAGAGAGAGGGAGATGGAGATAGGGACGGGGATGATGAATGCCCTAGCCACCCAGAGGTCAGAGTTCAGCGGCTGATGGAGGAGGACCCGGCGTTCAGGAGAGGATGCCTCCGCTGGATGAAAAAGGAGCAGCAGCGCCTCCTGAACCTGCAGCAGCAGAACATCACCAAGAAGCTGCGAGGACAGAACCAAAGCCAAGGTGAGCTCGGGGGTGTGGCCATACCGTGATGGCGAGGGTTCCAATAGAAGTCACTGCAAACGATCGTCATCAATAAACCCTTCAAATGATTGTTTATCTGTACTTAGTCGAGTCGGTTGCTTATGCTGTGACCATCTTTAATTTACAGTCTGTGCTCTGTCCCTAACTTTACTCCTCCCCCAGCTCCAGGTCAGAACGCTTCATCCCTCCGCAGGAATGCAAGCTCAAGTTTCCCTTTAAGAGTAACCCTGCCCATCGGCTGTCATGGGGACCCCCAGTGCCGCTCTGCAAGCTCTCGGTCTGGGGAGGGAGGAGGAGGTGATGGTGTTGAGCAGAAGGAGAATGGAGGAGGAGAAGCTAAAGGTTCTCCCTCACCTCCACCTCCCCCACAAGGTCAACTGCCTGGTCTCTTGCCCCTCCCCTTCCCAGCTCAGCCCCCTCGCATGCGCACCCCAAGTCCTCATCGCGCCTGGCAGCAGCGTAACCAGGGCAACCAGGGTGGCTATCACTACAACAACCAGGGCAACAACCAAAACCAGCAGCGTCGTTACCGCCGCAACTCCCTGGACAGCTCGCCACAGGGGAACGGGAGCTACGACAATGACCAGCACTTCAGCAGTGGTGGCAATGGTGGCCACCAGGGGTGACCAAGACAGAGGAGGGGATTTCGACCTGGGCCAGGTGGGGAGAGAGGAGGAGGAGGCAGAGGAGGAAGCAGAGACAGGGACAGAGACAGAGATGGAGGCTTCCATTATAATCAACGCCAGCACCATCAGTTCCACCACCACCATCCCTACTACAACCCCCACAATGCACCATTCCAGCCTGGACCTCACCCTCACCCCCATTACCACAGCCTGCCGCGCTCAGGGGCTCCACCCCTTCCTGCTGACATGCTACTTGGCATTATGCCACCGCCGGGGGCGTGGAGCTTCAACACTCCGCCCAGGATGAGGCGGCAGTTCAGCGCACCGGACCTCAAAAACAACAACAAGGAGACGCCGATCTGACCTCTGACCTCCTGAATACGGAGACTCCTGATTGGCTGCGGGACACAGGGCGATCCTGATGCTGTAGAGAATCGGCTGAGAGTGTGCGCGCGTGTGTGCAATTGAGCACTTTTACACACCCTGTATCCTCTGTCCTGCTGCGTGTGTTTGTGCTTGTGTGCTTGAATTAGCAAAGGTGAGCTGTTAGCGACACTGACGTGCAAAAAGTGATTTTGAATTTGTTTTATTTTATTTTATCTGTTATGTTGTTCTGTCAGACTTTGATCACGTAGTAATTTAGCCTTTTTTTATTTTTTAAATTTCACCGATGGCTGGTGTTCGGGTGTCGATCATCGTGTTAACAAGGTGCCTTAAAGCCAACGTGTCTGCTGGTGAAGCTAATTTTCTTTTTAAAGATCAAGTATGTTTGTTAGTAGGGTGGTGTTTCTGGGTTAGAAGAGGTTTTTTTTTTTTTTTTAGTGTTAGCAAGTGAAGAGTAGGTGAAATTGTGAGCTTAGCCTAGCCTACGCTGCATTCAAGTTCCATGGGAATTACAGATTGTACAGCTTGTTTAACTCACTTCAACCCTCAAACTGATGATTAAGAGTTTAATCTGGAGCAGTTCCCAAATGGTGATTAATATTAAAATGAAGTTTATTTTTACTCGTTTATTTAATCATAAATACAATAGAGCCCACTGTGCTTGTATTTAGCATCTGCTGCAAACCAAAAAAAAAAGTATACAGTTCAACAACTTAAATATTGATTTAAATTTGAGAAAAAATATGCAGAAACATATATATTACATGTGAGTACATTTTCTCAATATTTAATTCTTTGAAAAACACACTGATAATGTTGCCTTTTTTTCCTGTCATATTTACCACCTGTGATCTGTTTTTGATTGAAGCTTGAAACTTGTATTTACATCTTCTCCCATGTGATTTGAATGCAGCATCGCTGAGTGCTACAAACCAAAGAAAGCGGCTGTGTGGCGCCTCCTAGTCAGGGTAAAAGCATCAGTGCAGGAACAATAAGTGCCAATGTGGCTTTTGTAAAACGCTAAAACACGCAGAGTTCCAAAAATGGAGAAGCAGGCGAGAAAGGCGAGTGCAGATGCCCCCCTGAGGAAGAGGAGGTGCAGAGAGGAAGAGGAGTAGGTGGTGCGCTTGTCTTATCTGTCAGATGTTTGTTTTTAAGAGCTGTGTGTGTATATTTGAAGTGTTAAATCTGATTTTAAACACATGAAACGTGCTGACGGTAAGTTCACCGTCTCTGGCAATCGTGGGAAATGCAAGTGATGCGTAACACATGATGATGCCCCAAGGTGGGAAATGTTGGAGCTTTGAGACAGAATCCTGAAGGGATGGATTAGTTTATGTAGGGCTGGATAAGGAAGGAATTCTGGGAGATGTATTGAGAAGCAGAAGGTTTTGAGGAAGAGAAGAAGAAGCTGATATACAGTAAGCTTTTTTTTTTTTTTTTTTTGAAGAAGTAACAGACACTACAGCATGTCGGGTGTGATACAAGATTCGTGCTGTAAGGACGCGACACTTTTTACTTTATGTCCAATTCAAAAAGGATGGGAAAATTCACTGCTGCCTTCCTGGCACGTCAGGATCCTGGAAATTGTGGCCTCCACCTGTTTCAGGTTGCTTTTAATTTCTTCTCGTTTTTCAACATGACATTTGCACACACATACTTTTGCTGGTGTTGTGTTCACTTCACATGTGTAAGACAGGAAACAAATTTCCAGCTTCCTGCGTCCCAGCGAACGCAGCACCCTATGTGCGTTTTATTCGCAC